CAGGAGAATGAGCCATTATTTCATTTATCACGAATACCTTCCACTGTGAGAAGTACTGCAGTTACAGTATTCCCTTGGAACCACTCTTCACCCTACCTGGTGCACAACACAAGGATGGCACCTCCAGAACTGACTGAGCTGGGCTTAGTAGAAATTTTTTTCAGCTTATAATGGTGGTGGGTGAACCAGAACAAACATTAAAAGTCATACACCTGGAATAGCAAGCAACTTTCTCTGGTAATACCTCTGTAATTAGAAGCCCTGCATGATGTCTCACCAAAAAGTCCCTCGAAATGCCCTACAATAATGCAGTTTCTAACAGGAGTGATACTATTTTTTTATTAATTATTAACACATCTGCCGATTCCCACCAAGACAAGGTGGCCCGAAAAAGAAAAACTTTCATCATCATCATTCACTCCATCACTGTCTTGCCAGAGGGGTGCTTTACACTACAGTTTATAAAGCTGCAACATTAACACCCCTCCTTGAGAGTGCAGACACTGTACTAATTGTATCTAATTGTAATACAGTGGACCCCTGCTTAACGATCACCTCCCAATGCGACCAATTATGTAAGTGTATTTATGTAAGTGCATTTGTACATGTATGTTTGGGGGTCTGAAATTGACTAATCTACGTCACAATATTCCTTATGGGAACAAATTCGGTCAGTACTGGCACCTGAACATACTTCTGGAATGAAAAAATATCGTTAACTGGGGGTCCACTGTACAGTGGACCCCCACATACCGATGGCATCACATAACGATTAATCCGCATACCGCTTGCTTTAATCGTAAAAATTTTGCCTCGCATACCGCTTAAAAACCCGCTCACCGATTTTCGTCCGAGTCGCGTCCAATGTACGCCCTCAGCCAGCCTCACATGTGCCGCCGGTGGCATTGTTTACCAGCCAGCCTCCGCGGTAACATCCACGCATACAATCGGAATATTTCGTATTATTACAGTGTTTTCGGTGCTTTTTCTGGAAAATAAGTGACCATGGGCCCCAAGAAAGCTTCTAGTGCCAACCCTACAGCAATAAGGGTGAGAATTACAATAGAGATGAAGAAAAAGATCATTGATAAGTATGAAAGTGGAGTGCGTGTCTCCGAGCTGGCCAGGTTGTATAATAAACCCCAATCAACCATCGCTACTATTGGTGGTACAGCTGCTGCTCTGCTGCACTGTCAGCTGCCTCTGCTCACTGTCAGCTGCTGCTGCTGCTGTAGCATCGTCTGCTGCTGCTGTAACATCGTCTGTTGCTGCTGTAGCATCGTCTGTTGCTGCTGTACCACCGTCAGCTGCTGCTGCTTGCTTGCTGCCCTGTAGCACGTCTGCTGCTGCTGTAGCACATCTGCTGCTGCTGCTGCTGTAGCATCGTCTGCTGCTGCTGTAACATCGTCTGTTGCTGCTGTAGCATCGCTGCTGCTGCTGTAGCATCGTCTGTTGCTGCTGTACCACCGTCAGCTGCTGCTGCTGCTGTAGCATCGTCTGCTGCTGCTGTAGCATCGTCTGCTGCTGCTCTGTAGCATCCGTCTGCTGCTGCTGCTGCTGTAGCAATCTGCTGCTGCTGCTGCTGTAGCATCGTCTGCTGTGCTGAACATCGCTGTGCTGCTGTAGCATCGTCTGCTGCTGCTGCTGTAGCACATCGTGCTGTTGCTGCTGTACCACCGTCAGCTGCTGCTGCTGCTGTAGCATCATCTGCTGCTGCTGTAGCATCGTCTGCTGCTGCTGTAGCATCGTCTGTTGCTGCTGTACCACCGTCAGCTGCTGCTGCTGCTGTAGCATCGTCTGCTGCTGCTGTAGCATCATCTGCTGCTGCTGTAGCATCGTCTGTTGCTGCTGTACCACCGTCAGCTGCTGCTGCTGCTGCTGTAGCACCGTTGTTGGTGTGGCTTATTGAGAATACCAAGAAACAATTAACCCCAGAGGATTTCCCACCCAGGATAACCCAAAAAAGTCAGTGTCATCGAAGACTGTCTAACTTATTTCCATTGGGGTCCTTAATCTTGTCTCCCAGGATGCAACCCACACAAGTCGACTAACACCCAGGTGAACAGGGAAAAATGCCTGAACTAGTGCTCATATTGGTGAATTTAAAGCCAGCAAAGGTTGGTTTGAGAGATTTAAGAATCGTAGTGGCATACACAGTGTGATAAGGCCTGTTCTGGAAGAAAATGCCAAACACGACCTACAGTACTCGGGAGGAAAAGGCACTCCCAGGACACAGTGTCTCATCAGTCATTGCTGCATCTTCAATAAAGGTAAGTGTCATTTATTCTTCATTTAGTAGACTAGTACATGCACAATATATACTGTGCATGTACTACTCTACTATTGTGCATGTATCCTTCTCTTTGTGTGTAGGAAAATGTATATTTCATGTGGTAAAATTTTTTTTTTCATACTTTTGGGTGTCTTGCACGGATTAATTTGATTTCCATTATTTCTTATGGGGAAAATTCATTCGCATACCGATTATTTCGCATAACAATGACCCCTCTTGCACGGATTAAAATCGGTATGCGGGGGTCCACTGTACTTATTTTTTTTTTTTTGCTACCTTTCTACTATAAATCTTATTAGCTATAAAATTTTTTGTTACCTCTTTTGTAATACAGTAATGTAAACTAATGAATAATTAAAATTTACCACTCCATAACCTATGCCTAATTTTAGGTAGTCTGTAAGCATTAGGATTAGTCTGCCCAAAATGCTCAGGCATGCTAGTGGCTTTCTTTGTGCTTAACAATTTTTTTATAACATGTAAATCACACATTGTATACTATGCAAAGAAATAACAAATTTAAATTTGACTATAGCCACTGCAGTACTGCCAACAGACACTGTTAGAACAGGACTGATAATGGTACCCTTTCTCCCCCTGTCTAAGAGTTAGATTTATCAGAAGAGGAAAATTTCCCCATCAACGAGGCCAGAGAGAGACAGATAGATGGGGGGAGGGGGGAGGGGTTGAATTATGGGGTATTTAGGTTCAATCCAAGGAAGGATAAGAGGTTCAGTTCCTCAAACCAAGAGCCCCTTTGCCATGGCATGGGACCCCTTTGTCCTTGAAGAGGACTGAAGATTATTAATGCATGATAAATTGGTTAATGGTTAACTAAGTTTATTCAGGTATAGATACACATACAGTTACATAAATTATCATACATAGCATATGTGTAGAGTACCTAGGATAACCCAAAAAAGTTAGATAAAGTGACTTATTTCTATTGGGGTCCTTGAGTTATTTCATTTGGGGTCCTTGATGGACTTGACTGACTAGGAGCGGTAAGTGCCCAAGAGGCAGGTGTTTGTAAACTTCCCAAATGAACTGCTCACCTGAAGAAACCCAAGATGGATAGGCATGACGATAAACAAAGATGTAACACTTCAGCTCTCCAAATCTCCAGTGTCTCGACCCACTGAGCCCAACAAGGGAAGGAAAACATGGGGCCATTTAAATCAGCAAAAGGGATCTTGGAGAGGTACCACCAGGACTGAAAAAGTGCATATAATCCCCCCTGTTCAACCCATCCTTGCTTGACTCAATCTAAATGCACTGCTCCACCGTAAAGCATCAGTAGGCCAAGCACTGTCACACTTTCCTAATGCTATTCATACAGTACTCACAATTTGCAGGGGGCCCACCATGACCCATAAAGTAAACAGCCAACTGAAAAGTGCAAAGTCTGAGCTTGAACGTGATGTGAGACCAGCAGACTGATTCAGGTAGGGCCCACACTGAGTCTCTGATTCTACTTCTACCTACTCACCAAAGAAGGTTGTTCACGAAATGGTAGGCTTAATTTCCAGGTGAGAATAACTGAGGAACAAATGGGTCGCCATGTACAGAAAACACATATGGAAGAATTTAGTTTCAGGTAGGTCTTTGCCATTATTATTATGTATTTTTACAGTAGTGTATACTGAAATGGAAGCACTAAACATATATGAGTCATATAGTGCCTGGGGAATATGAGGGATGGGGGTATTTAGATTCAATATGCTAAAGGGAAAAGTAGCTCAAATTCCTAGGATCAAAATCCCCTTCACCTCCATCAAAGCACTCCCCATGAAAAAGCCCTTACCAGCCTGTTTTAACTTTTAAGATTTAAAAAATAAGTTATTACAAGGACCTCAATGGAAATAAGTCAGTTTGACTTTTTTGGGGTTATCCTAGGTAGTCTACACATATGCTGCTATGTATGATAATTTATGTAACTGTATTTATGTGTACCTGTACGTGAATAAAATTATTTACTTATGGCCACACTGGTGAAGAAAATCCCAACTAGCAGGGACCAAGGCATTAACAAAAACTATAATCCCCCACCATCAACTGAAACAGATTTGAGAAAATAAAGACCTAGTAAAAAGGATACAGATGTATATATAATAAATATACATATAGTACCAGATAAATGTTATTAAAAATATCTTGATATCTTTTATTAATGTTTTCTTCCCTCATACATGACATAAACTTACACAAGTTTAAGCAGTTCACCACTTTAAATTCCATCTGAGATCAGTTCTTTTAATGTTTGTGTCAGTCATATATTTTGCATTTACTTTATAATCAGAAACTTTTCACTAACAGGAACTCATATATATGTGGCTTTCTAAAATGGTTCACTGTATTCTATCAATGGATGAGAATACCAACATTTCCCACCATCAACATTCAGGTCTTTGTTCACTTGATCAACTATAAAATTCTACACCAGGTGCAATCAAATGAGATATCAACAGGCCTTACTTTAATACATGCCTAATTTACTGTTGTAGAGTTTTAACTACCTGTATATTTGCTGATATGAACTATATTTTTTTCAAGTGACATGTGTCAACATACCAGTCAGGACATCCCTACCTCATTTCTAATATTAACAAAAATTAACAAGAGAAATTTTGCTTCTGCTATTAATGACTTATTTTGTAAATAATTTTACTGTAATTTTTTTCAGAAATTATGAATAATGAAAATAACATATTAATTAGTATTTATTAAAAAGCAAAAATGCAGTACATATACTAAGTCTGAACAGGATGGAAATTTCAATGCAGGGATTGAGGCATCAATGTATTCTTAACTCCCAAAGAAAGCAGCAAACAGAAAATATTACTGAGAGCATGTACAGTACAAGGTTTCCCTCAGTTAATGTAGGTTTACTTTATGTGAATTTGCTATTAAGTGATATCAGATTCTTTCACCATTTCTATATGTGTACTATGCTTTAACCACTTGCAAATGGTACAGTTCACAAAATGTGAATTTTTTTTTTTTAACGTGTTGGCCATTTCCCACCAAGGCAGGGTGACCCAAAAAAAAAGAAAAAACTTTCATCATCGTTCAACACTTTCACCATCATTTATATATATTCACTGTCTTGCAGAGGTGCTCAGATACTACAGTTTAGATGTCATTCCAAACAGCCAATATCCCAAAATGTGAATATTCTCATTATAAGAAATTAAGTGCTAATAGCCTGAGTGACCTTAGTACAGCAGTCAAAGGCCTGGAAGACACCTGCAGCGTGAAAAAGGGACAACTATATTCACATTTGTAATACAGTACTAAAGATCATGTTTTACACAAGGGTCAAGTGCCCCTGGCAATGGCATTTACAAAGTGAAGTATTAACATTATAGGTTATTCAAAAGTGCATATAGAACAGTTACCTTGTCAATGGCAGACAACCTTAACATTCTAGTAGTACAGTAGTCAAATGGCCTCTTACAGATATGTAATATAAAACTAAAACAAACTTTTCCTACTTTTACCAAAAGTACATGAGAAATAACCCAGGGAGATGGGAAAAAAATGAAAAATAAACAAATCATCACCTACACCTTAAAGATCAAATTCCCTGCTTGGCCTAACCTACAGGATATTACATCACTGGAACAAGTTTACAGATAAATGTGAAAAGTAACATATGCTGAAAGATATACTACATTAATAACAAATCTTCAAACATAATATAGAAGATTTCACAGAGACAAAACTAACATAAAGAAATCTAACCTCATAAAAAAATTCTTTTTTTATACCCATTTCAAGCTTTTTTTTTTTATATATACACCCTTCCAAACTCCTTTGCCTACCTTTGTAACTTCTCTTCCAATTCTCCTCTGAGCAACTGCGACAACACCTACTTCATAACTGCTGCAATGTCTTTTAAACCTGCTCGTCTGCTTAACCCTTAAATGTTCAGATCTGCAGTGCTTCAAAAGTAGATCTATGATTTTTTACATATTTTCAAATATAACAAAAAATGTAGATAAAAGTTTTTTTTTACACATTTTCAAATGTAAAAAAAAAATGATGATGTACATTTTTTTACATACTTTCAAATGTTGAAAAAACGTATGTATACGTTTGGACCGTTTAAGGGTTAAAGCTCTAGATTCACTTCTTTACAATTTCATCTACATACATATTAAACTACAGTGATATCACACAGCCTTGTCTTAGGGCTGTTTCTTTTTGTAGCCCTTTCCAACTCAGGTAACCTAAAACCATAGATGTTAATGGGCGAAGGAAATGTTGCTCTATCCCACAGAACAGACAAACAAGACCATAAGGTCAGACTGCCCATCCAAAGGAGCATAAACAATATACCCTAGTCTATAAAGAACAAATGAAAAATAAGGATAAATATAATAAACAAGGTGAGATGTTAGTGGCTAGTCTACAATATAGGGGTGAAAAATTTAAAATTAGTTGAGGCAACACCCAACCTTAGCTGAGCACTGCCCGTGACCTGTTGTGCAAGAATAAAAATTAAGTTCCAAGGTGGAAGATGCCTAACCTTGGCACAGCACCTCCCCCAACAACTAGGGCTGGGCCACCATAACTAAACATATGGATAATACATAATAAAATATGAAAGAATTAAACAATAAGGGAGGAAGTACCTTCAGGATTATACTTCCATATTTTACTGTAGGAATAATGACTGAAATTCAAGTCTTGATCCACCAAGGACTTCTCCAAGCTTCCATTCTAGGGGGCTATGACAGTCTATCTAGGATATTTGGCCCAACTCAGGGGCTAACATGACATCCCACATGCAGGGCTCAGAGCTGGGTCCCCTACTTGGTCCAAATTTAGGGGATGCCCACAGATGGGGGCTGGCAATATTGTTTTCAGCTTGATCTTCCTTTTCTTAGGGAGATCAAGTTGAAGGAAATTTCCTGTGTACCCAACTGGGCACACAGGAAATTTCAAGACTTTTTCAGGGATATGGACCCCTCGGGTCTCTATGGTCCTGTGTGTTTTCCACATTCACAGGCTTTAGTTAGTACTTTATGCCACTTAGAAAGTGACAGTCACATTACCAGGGTCATTCTATTTTTGCCCTGACAAGACTGGCATCTCATGTCTTTGCAGAGCTTCTAGTTAGCCTCATCTTACAGCCTGGTGGGCTCCCTTAAAGTGTTGGTGCAAGGCATGCCACTCAGTGCCAATTTTCAGAAGTGTAGTTTGCTCTTATTTTGGTACAGTTTGGTCAAGAAATATTAATTCTTTTATTCAAGTTTTTGAAGCAGCTGTTCAAATTTATTTACTCTATTTTTTTTTTATCAAATATTGTATGAGCAAGTTTTGTAGCCCCTGTTGCCCCTTTTTGCCTAGCAGTAAATTCATTGAAATAGTGTAGGGGTGAGAAGGTAACTGATAACAGCAATTAAGATGGCTAGATATGTATGTATTATTATTTTGCCATGATCATAACAATAACAATTCTATAACCAAGAGACTTTGTCCACTGTTTCCAAATCAACTAACCCAGCAAATTTTGTCCCACATTTCCACAATTAGTTAAACTGAGATCCATTATATCAAGGGATTACTGTACTTAGGTATTAGCTGATGGTTGTGGGCCGCATTCAAGGGAAGAGGCCTTAAGGATCCCCCAGTGGAAGTAACTGACAATGATTGGGTTTACTGAGTTATCCTGGGTTAACAATCCTCTGGGATTAATTTTTTTTTTTATTAACACATCACCTGATTCCCACCAAGGCAGGGTGGCCTGAAAAAGAAAAATTTTCATCATCACTCACTCCATCAGTCTTGCCAGAGGGGTACTTTACACTACAGTTATAAAACTGCAACATCAACACCCCTCCTTCAGAGTGCAGACACTGTACTTCCCATCTCCAGGACTCAAGTCCGGCCTGCTGGTTTCCCTGAATCCCTTCATAAATGTTACTTTGCTGGGATTAATGGTATGATTTAAGTCACCTTCGTTGTTGGCCCATACTGTTGGATGAAAGTCGCTCATTTATGTAATTTCATTATTGCCAGTCAACTCTACAGGTCTGTAAATACTACATGGGTTAATTTTGGTTGGGTGAGGCTAACTAAACACAGAACAACTAATACATAATTTTCATCAGTCATCAGATAAGAGGTTCCCCAGATAGGATACGTTTACCCCCAAGGGTATGTGAAAGGATTTTCAGAAGGTACACGAGTGCATTATAATATATCAATGATGCTTATGAACCTCTACCACAAACTAAATTCTGATCACAGATGAGCCAGTTGTACCCCTTAGTTGCCAATATGGCTGCAAAAATCTTTTAACATTTCCCACACCATACCTGTGTGTGCATGGATGCTCTGTTTTATGTATGGATGCACAAAACAGAGCTTGTGGAAGATGACCTCAGGATGGCTCTGTCAATAACAACTTTGCCTACGCAGGCACATCCTTCACATTGAATTTCCCAAGAGCTTAAATAAGTGTAAATATTTTATGTCCTAATTAACTCTCTTCAGTATATGCCTAAAATAACATTTTTATTTAAAATAAATGTATATGCTTTATTCCTCTACATTAAGCTATTAACCCTTAAAACTGTCCAAGCAGATCTATGTTCACATGCATAGTGCTCCAAAAGTAGATCTACATTTTTTTTACATATTTTCAAATATAACAAAAAAAAAAAAAAACTTAGTTCAAAGTTTTTTTTACACGTTTTCAAAGGTAAAAAAAAAAAAAAAAAAAAGATCTACTTTTTTACATACTTTCAAATGTTGAAAAACATAGATCTACGTTTGGTGTGTGTGTGTGTGTGTGTGTGTGTGTGTGTGTGTGTGTGTGTGTGTGTGTGTGTGTGTGTGTGTGTGTGTGTGTGTGTGTGTGTGTGGGGTGTGGTATGTGTTTATGTGTGTGTGTGTGTGTGTATGTGTTTATGTGTGTGTGTGTGTGAGAGAGAGAGACTCAGCAATCAACATTTGCACAATAACTCACTACAGTTGTGACCGGGTGTGGAAGTGTGAATTGCTCATTACTCTAAAATTTGTTCATGATTGCAGCCATGTATACACGTAAGTAACCATTCTTACAGTATTCATTACCTTTGTAACTTGTGAGTTCATTACCTTTGTAACTTGTGAGTTCATTACCTTGTACCTAGTTCAGCCATCAAAACTTTGGAGCCCGGTCCCTGGACCCATTGTGTACCTCTGTAATCTGTAAATACCTTTGTAACTTGTCATGATTGTGACTAGATCTACCTGGAGTTCATTACCTTTGTAAATTGTGAGTTCATTACCTTTGTAAATTGTGAATTTGTCAGTGGAACGCCTTCCAACTGAACAAAAGAAACTAATGGAAAAATAAATAAAGAAATGATTTAAGGAAAAACAAGATAAAATGATTTTTGAGAATTTTACTTAAAATTTAAATATAATAAAAATATGGCCTTCAATTCAGGTAGTTGGGTAGGAGTAGGTATGGCCCTAGATAGTTCCTCTGATGTTATTTATGTAGGTTATCCTGGGCAGATGGTAATCCGATGTTCTGGAATCTCCTACCACTTGGATGGAGCACAAGTAGTATAGGTAAGGGCCGGTAGTTGTAGAATGTTAATAAGTATTATTAACACACGTCTTGCCCCTTTATCTGGCGTCTATCCTGGAAGACCACGCCAGGAACAGAGCTGACAAATAAGAGAAAATAAAACTGGTTACCCATAGTCATGATAATATAACATCTAAGAAAGAAAAAGAATGATAAAGGCCAAAATCATTACTGGTAACCAGCAAACACTAGAAAAGAACAAACAGTAATACTCCTGGTAGATCACCCTACCTGATTAGGAGAAGAGTGGAGGCGAAGTGACTCTCCAAACTTCCATCCACACCAGGTAAGGTCAATATTACCAGGAGTAGAAACTTTAACAAATCGGACACCAGGAACTAGTTTTGCCCCAGCCCGCCAGAGAGGGGGGGGTGTGTGCGCGCGCAACGTAACTCTCTAATGGTTCCTGGTTGCCCGAACAACCTTAACCCCACTTACACCTACTTTTCCCTCACAGAATTCATTACCTCTGTAACTTGCTCAGCTATCAAAACTTTGAGGCCCAGTCCCTGGACCCATTATGTACCTCTGTAATCTTTTGACTACCGCCCACAGGATGGGTATGGGGTGCATAATAAACATATTAAACTAAAAACCTACGTTTGGACAGTTTAAGGGTTAATATTATTTTGCAAGCATCTTAGTATCTTTATCACATTGCATATAGTCGTTCACAGTATCAATTTATGTACTAGTAAACAAGCTTTTATTTTGCAGGTTTGTTTGTTTCATATAGGAACTATACTTCTGCATAATGAAGTCACTGTATTTTATGGCGAACAAGATGCTCCAGTGTCGAGGACACCCCAGTTCTGATTGGCTAAAATTTTGAAAAAAAATAAATAAATAAAATAAATAAATGGTACTTCGACTTGTAAGACGCTTGGTAAATTTTTGAGACTTAATTTGGGAAAGTATCTGATGACATAAAATACAGTATGTGCTGTATTCCTAAAATCTGGAAGTATGTACTGTACAATATGTAAATTGTTCTATCTCACTGGCAACTACCCGAACACACTGTTCCTAGCTCCGACTTACCCAACAGAAGTCTCCCTTATTATCAACACACTAAAAAACAAGACAGGAGATTTAAATACCTTCCCCCAATGGAAATAAGTCACTGTCTGACTTTTTTGGGTTATCCTAGGTTCTCTACACATATGCCGCTATGTATGATAATTCTATGTAACTGTATTTGTGTATACCTGAATAAACTTACTTACTTACTTACCACCCTTTATATACAAAAAAGCTTCACAAGTGCTGTCACCAATCACTGCAACACTTTTTAACAAATCCATCAAATCCTCTACCTTCCCTACAGTTTTCAAAATAGCAAGGGTCACCCTGATACATAAAGGAGGAGATCAAACAGACTTGAATAACTGTAGCCTACTTCATTCAGTTTGGTAACAGAGTTACAGATGTCCCTTTTAACATAATGATAAATGGATCACCTATCACAAAGCTCACAAAGGGAAAATCCTTCAGAATCCACCTTGATAACAGACTCAAATTTCAAACACATGTACAACAAATTTATAAGAAAATCTCCAAGACCATAGGCATACTATCGAAGATACGGTACCTATGTTCCACAGTCAGCCCTCCTGGCCCTATATCACTCACTCATTTACCCCTATCTCACCTATGGAATTTGTGCATGGGGGTCAACAAAATAAACCATCTCAACCAATTTGTAATATAAAACAAAAACAAATTTTTCCTACTTTTCCCAAAAAAGTAATGAGAAAAAACCCCGGGGAGTTTGGGATAAAAATGAAAAATAAACAAATCATAAACCAACACCTTAAAATAAAATTTCCCCTGTTTTGGCCAAAACCTACGGGAATTACATAAACGGAAAAAGTTTACAGATAAATGTGAAAGTAACATATGCTGAAAGATTACAAACATTAATAACAAATCTTCAAACATAATATAAAATTTCACAGAGACAAAACAAACAAAAGAAATCAAAACCTCAAAAAAAAATTTTTTTTTAAATACCCATTTAAAAGTTTTTTTTTTTTATATATACCCCCTTTCCAAACCCTTTTGCCTCCCTTTTTGGTAATTTTCTTTTTTCCAAAATTCTCCTCTGGGGCAACTGCGAAAAACACCAATTTTATAACTGTTTGAAATTTGTTTTTTTAAACCTGCCGCCCTTTTAAACCCCTTTAAATGTTCAAATCTGAAAGTGTTTCAAAAGTAGATCAATGATTTTTTACATTTTTTTTAAAATATAAAAAAAAAAGTAGAAAAAAATTTTTTTTTTTTACAAATTTTAAAAATGAAAAAAAAAAGGATGATTTTAACATTTTTTTTACATATTTTCCCAAAGTTGAAAAAACTTTATTAAAACGTTGGAAACCGTTTAAGGGTTAAAGCTCTTAGTTCCTTCTTACAATTTCATCTACATAAAATATTAAACAACAGTGATTTTCACACAGCCTTGTCTTAGGGCTGTTTTCTTTTTGTACCCTTTCCAACTCAGGAAAACCTAAAACCATAGATTTTAAATTGGGCAAAGGGAAATGTTGTTTCAAATCCCACAGAACAACAAAAAAGACCAAAAGGGTCAGCCCTTTGCCCATCCAAAGGACCATAAACAATAAAACCCTCATAAATAAAGAACAAATGAAAAATAAGGAAAAATAAAATAAAAAAGGTGAGATTTTTATTTGGCTAGCTAAAATTTATGGGGGTAAAAAATTTAAAATTATTTTGAGGCAACCCCCAACCTTAGCTGACACTGCCCAACCTGTTGTGAAAGAAAAAAATTAAATTTTCCAAGGTGAAGATCCCTAACCTTGGCACAGCACCCCCCCCAAACAACAAGGGCGGGGCCACCATAACAAAAACATATGGATAATACAAAAATAAAATATGAAAGAATTAAAACAATAAGGAGGAAGTACCTTCAGGATTATACTTCCATTTTTTACGTAGGAATAATGACTAAAAATCAAGTCTTGTTTCCACCAAGGCCCTTTTTTCCAAGCTTCCATTCTAGGGGGCTATGCCCGCCCAAATCTAGGATTTTTGGGCCCAACCCCGGGCAAACATGACATCCCACATGCGGCTCAGAGCTGGGTCCCCCTATTTGGGGCCCAAAATTTTGGGGGGAGCCCACAGAGGGGGGCGGGCAATATTTTTTTTCCGGGCCTTGATCTTCCTTTTCTTAGGGAGATCAAGTTAAAGGGAAATTTTTCCCCTGTGTCCCCCAACTGGGCACCAGAAATTTTCCCAAAGTTTTTTTTCGGGGATAGGGAACCCCCTTGGTCTCAATGGTCCTGTGTGTTTTCCACATTCACGGGTTTAGTGTATTTTTAGCCATTTTAGAAAGTGACAGTCACATTACCAGGGCCCATTCTATTTTTGCCCTGAAAGACTGGCACCCTCATGCCCTTTCCCAGAGCTTCTAGTTACCTAAATCTTACAGCCTGGTGGGCCCCCCTTAAATGTTGGGAAAGGGGCATGCCACTCAGTCCCAATTTTTCCAGAATTGTAGTTTGCCCCTTTTTTTGGTACATTTTGGGTCAAGAAATATTAATTCTTTTTTCAAGTTTTTGAAGCAGCTGTTAAAATTTAAATTCCCTCTTTTTTTTTTTTATCAAATTTTGAAAGGAGCAAGTTTTGAAAGCCCCTGTTCCCCCTTTTTTGCCTGCATTAAATTCTTTAAAATTAGGGGTTTAGGGGTAAAGAAGGAAAACTGTTTAACAGAAATTTAAAGGGGCTAGATATTATGAATTATTTTTTTTGCCATAAACAAAACAATAACAATTCTTTTAACCCAAGAGACTTTGCCCACTTTTTCCAAATCAACTAACCCAGCAAATTTTGCCCCACATTTCCACAATTTTTAAAAACTGAGATCCATTATATAAAGGGATTACGGGTACTTAGGTTTTAGCTGATGGTTTGGGCCGCATTCAAGGGAAAAAGGCCCTTAAGGATCCCCCAGTGGAAGTAACTGACAATAAAGGGGTTTCCTGAGTTATCCGGGGTTAAAAAAACCTCGGGGTTTAAATTTTTTTTTTTTTTTTTCACATCAGCTGTTTCCCCACCAAGGCGGGGTTTCCCCCGAAAAAAAAAAATTTTCATCATCATTTCACTCCATCAGCCCTTCCCAAAGGGGTACTTTTACACTACATTTATAAAACTGCAACATCAACACCCCCCCTTTCAAGTGCAGACACGTATTTCCCCATCTCCAGGACCAAGGGCCCGGGCCTGCTGGTTCCCTGAATCCCTTCAAAAATGTTTACTTTCCCGGGATTAATGGTATGATTTAATCCCCTTTTCGTTTTTGGCCCATACTGTTGGATGAAATCTCTCATTTATGTAATTTCATTATTCCCATCAACTCTACAGGTTTTAAAATACTAAAGGGGTTTAATTTTTGGGTTGGTGAGGCTAACAAAAACACGGGAAAAAAAAAAAATACATTTTTTCCCAATCATTCATCAGAAAAAGGGGTTTCCCCAAAAGGGAATAGGATACTTTTTCCCCCCCAAAGGGTATGTGAAAGGATTTTCAGATGGTACAACGAGGGGGCATTTTTTAATATATTGTGTTACTACTGCATCAATGATGCTTATGAACCTCAAACCAAAAACCAAATCTGATCACAGATACCATTTGTCCCCCTTTATTTTCCCCAATATGGTTTGGAAAAAAATTTTTAAAAAACATTTCCCACACCATACCTTTTGTGTCCCAGGGGATGCCTGTTTTGTGTAGGGAGCAAAAAAACAGAGTTTTGTGGAAGATGCCCTAAAGGTTTTGGCTCTGTAAATAAAAAATTTCCCTACGAAAGGCAAAACCTTCACATTAAAATTTCCCCAAGACCCCTTAAAATAAGTGAAAAATTTTTTTATGCCCCAAATTTTAACTTCTTTCATTTAATCCTAAAATAACTTTTTTTATTTAAAAAAAATTTAAATATATGCTTTAATTCCATAAAATTTAAAACCCTTTTTAAAACCCTTTAAAAACTGCCAAGCAGATCAAAGTTCACATGCATAGTGCCCCAAAAAAGTAGATCTACTTTTTTTTTAACATATTTTCAAA